TGGAGCAATGATGAAACATTTCTTCCCACATCCGCTAAATTTCTTTTAGGAGGATCATTGGCTTATCTCATTTGTATTGCAGTACATCTCTTCATTTTTCCCACATCTGTTCCCCTGATGCCTGTCACTTTAGCTGCTCTACTTATAGTTGCAAACTTTGTCTGTGTTAAAAGTTTTATGCCAGAGATGTTTGTTGTGAAAAGGTATTTCACACTAGTCAATGTAGTCTCAAGCATATTGTTCATTTTGAACTGTTGTATCTACTTCTCAAATAGTTTTGTGGTTAACGAGGATGAAATCTCCATGTTTTTGTTACAAACTTTAGTTTGTATCTTCAGTGCCAGTATTATTTTGTCCAAGAAGTCGCCTGGGGGGAAAACTGAGCACACCAAATATTCCAAGAAATCAAAATCCAGTTTTGATATTATGCAAGTGGTATTGCATCCTAAAACTGTATGCTTCCTTGTGTGTCTGAGCCTTTGTGCTCTACTGAGGCTCTCCTCTTCTTTTATTCCTTGTAGAGAAGAACAGGTCTCGTGTATAAACTCTGTATTTCCTCAGCCTTTGGCTTCCTTAGAAGGTGCCACAAAAAACAAAAGGTATATTTTTAGCATTGTTAGCTTGGCAGTAATGGTGTATGCATCTAGGCGATGGTTGAAACATTTTGGTAACTTGAATGGCACTAGTCCTGGAGTGGTTGCCATGTTGTATGGTCCTCCTCTGGCAGCTTTATTTACATGCCTGCATTGGGCCCTCCAGGGTCTCTCGGATCTGTTCAGTGACTCATTCACACCCTGGCAGCTGGCACTGATGGCTCAGGCTGTTTATGTTGTTCTGTTGGTTTCCATAGTAACTCTTACAGTGTGGCCACTACTTATATTCATGATTCCGTCCAAAGCAAGCTCAGCACTTTATCTTTCACATAAAGGTAACTGTAAAAAACTAACTTATAGTTATTTGATATCAAGTTACAATATCCTTTTTTCTTTATCATGAATACAACTAGTGGAATCTTTTTTATTAAATTAAGGTTATTTGTTGACAACTATGTGAAAAAATACTATTATAACAATATTTCTTCAATTGTAATGTTTAAAATAAATTATTTTTTTAAAAATAATATATGAATGTTATAGTGCATCTCAAATTAAGTAAGGGTATGTATTTTCTATAAAAATGTTAATATTTTATATATTATGTTAAAGCATTATATTTGAGCTATTTACATTTTAATTTTTAAAAAACTCTTTCAAGAACTTCATTTTATAATCCAATGATCATTTTAAGAATATTTACAGATAGACTTGCCCCTGAATAGTTATTCAATTAGAGACATACAAATTTTGTGTTTAGTACTAGATAGTATTTTGAATTAAAGTCGTCCTGGTAGTGACAAGTATTTTGGATTAAAGTCCTGGTAGTGACAAGTGTTTTGGATTAAAGTCCTGGTATTTGACTAAAATTAGAGGACTATTAAGTTCACTTAGCTCTTAGTGAGGTAACTTTGTGCATCAGGAGGTGATTGTTCTGGCCATGATCCCAGTCATTTAACTCTAGGACTTTGCAATTCTTGTCAGTCTCACATGTTCTATAGACCTTAAAATCTCAAAAGAAAACTGTAGCCTACTTTTGTTTTTTTTTCATTAGGGTTAAAACTAACTAGTAATAAATATAAATATATCATCATGTGAAACAAATATTTATAAAAAAAAAAGTAAATTTCCCTTTCAGAACTTACGATCTATAGGGCTGAGGATGTTAAGGTCATCTGCTTTTTTGGCCAACGGTTAATGAGCATGGTCTCATGTAGCTAGCTAAATGACCAACTGCCTTTACTTTCCCCAACGTAAGTCAGGTACCCATTAGAGTTGGGTGGACTCAGGGGCACTCTAAGAATCTCAAAATTCAAAATCCCAGTGTTCATTCAGATTCGAACCCAGTACCCCAGGTTTGTAAGTTAAGCAGCAGCCTCTGGGCCTTTCAAATAATAAATTTGGTTGACAAATATGATTATGTTTGAACATTCATTTTCAGGTGACTTGCAACATATTATTCCAACAATCTACAACCAGTTAAAAGTAAACTTCCAGCAAAATCATAATGAAAAGGATAGTGAGAGATCACCCATTATTTATGGACTTGGATCTGCATATAGTGCATCTATTTGCGCTTACCTTGTGCTGTTTGGACTGTTACTGACTTTGTTACTGAGTGATGGAACAGCGCCTAGCATCACCCTTGGAATATTAGCTCTGTATTTATGTTTAGAGTTGTATTCTGCAGCCATCGTCTCTAATTCAAAACATGGTAAATTTTTTATATTTTTATATCCAAGACTCCCATTTAATTGACTAATTGAAAGCAGGGGTTAAAAGGCTATTTTTTAAATTGCTTTCCTTTAAATAAAACTTTGTTTTACTTTTTAAACAGTGGAATGTTTTGAAATTTGTATTGTTATTTTTTACAGAGGAGGACATGTCATCTCCCAGGTGGGCAGGATTAGTTTTATTCAATCTTCTGTCAACTGTATTCTTTTATACCACTGGTCATCAAGCCACTGTCCCAAGCATCAGATTTGAAGCTGGTTATGTAGGCTTTTATGGTGACCTCAAATCATTTATTTTACCAGGTACTACATTAATTTATTAGTTTACAAAGATCTGGTATAATAATTTATCTGATTGGTATGTTAATGTATTTAATTTTAGACTATTGATAAAAATATGCTTTTGAAGTATATATGCTTTTTAATTAATGTGTAATTATTTTTTTTCCTATTTTAAAAAAATACCTTTTATGTTGCATATATATATATTTTGCAGCAATAGTTTTTGGTTAGGGCAATTAGTACCAGCTAATTCCTCTCCCTCTCTAGTCCTGTTTATCAAAAATTAATAAAACAAAATCCAAATAAAATTAATGTAGTAAATATATATACGAAACTGCGAAGTTTTGCTGGAACTATATTTTTAATATTGCTATTTAACAATATTGAATGGTCTGAGAGTCTAAAAGAGTTAGGTTTTGCTGAAACTGCAGACTTTATATTGTCATAAAATTAAGTTGGTCTTTTAGGTTTTGCTGAAACTGCAGACTTTATATTGTCATAAAATTAAGTTGGTCTCTTGAGTCTACAACAAACGTGCCCTTAACAAATATACAATGTCATGCATACTTTATTTTTAAACAGGTTTTCTGGTGTGGCTCAATACATTTGCTGGACCAGTATTCTTTAGTTTGGCTGGACCACTGCTCATCTTTTGGCCATTACTATTCAATGGGTTGGCCAGTTGGATGGTAGATAAAAAATCAGAACAGGTCAAAGAGAAGACAAGTTGGCAAGGAGACTTCAGTATTTTCAACAATGGAATCAAACTCAACAAACATTTATTTAGTCTTGTCTGTGGAACTATCTTTATTACGTCTTTGAAGGTAAAATATAACAGTTTCTTTATTAATACATTATGTAGCAAGGTCCTCAATTCAGCAGTTAAGTGCTTTACCATTCAATAAGGGTTAGGGTTCAGCTCAGGTGAGTATCTGATTTTTCAAGGAAAAAGTTAATGCTAGTTGATGATCTTCTCATCAACATTGGTCTTGGGAAAGGTGAAAATTTAACTGCTCGATGAACCACTTGGCCTCAAAAAGGAAACTTTTTTTTTCTTAAATAAAAATTGCCTTAACTCTAAATATGGGAAATAAAAATGTGTTGTAGATTATTCTGCTATTGAATGTGAGTGTTTCAGGGAAATTCAAAATCCCAACCTGCAATGGGATTGAAACTCTAGAACACCAGGTCAGAAACCAAGAAACTTTACTATTCATTGGTCTTGTAAGAGTTCTTTTTATTTAAACAGAATATTTCAAGGAAAAGCCTTTAATTAGTATACAAACTAAACATTCAAAAAGGTTTATTTATGTAGGAACTATTCTAACTACCTTGTAATCTAAAATTATTATATAACATGAGCATGTAAATCGTTTATATTTCAGCTCTTGTTTGCCACATGTGCAGCTGCACTTCATCGAAGACATCTCATGGTCTGGAAAATATTTGCTCCCCGCCTAGTATATGAGAGTGCCCTGTTTGTGACAGTGACAGCTTGTATGTTTGTTGTCTGTCTTTTTGTACATAGAGTTGACAGAGCCTTGATACGGTTTGTGAAATACATTCATCCAGATAAAGAAAGCTGAGTTTATTTTTTGTTAACATATTATAATCATGTTTTTGCAGTAATTTATTTTTCAATTTTAACATCTTCCCATGATGCATATGCCCTTAGTCTTTTACTTGAAGTCTTCCTGCAAGAGAGATTAGTTTGATTGAAATGAAGTTTTTTCCTGTTGAAAATTGTCACAATAATAAACCATAATTGCATTTAAAAAAAATTATATCCTTAAATGTACTTCTACTGGTATACGAGTTGAAGCATTTATTTGATTTTAAAATGAACTGAGCAAGTATTTACTACTCTAGTGGTATTCTTTTGAATACAGTATCTGAATATTTGTGTATGTCTGGCTGCATGTACTTCAATCAGATCAAACTTATGTTATAATTAGGAGAACAAGTTGAACAATGAATCTATTAAATGGTATGTCACCTTATCTTTTATGTACTACTTTCAGATCTGGGGTTGTTCATATCTGTGTTTCAGAGATTTCAACCATACTTCCATTACTGAAGTAGATTAATACTGTTGTTGAGTTTCTCTGAATGTTTAGTATGTTTTTATAATTAAATACATTTATGCTGGGGTCCAATAGAACATATCATTGTTTGTATATAAAACTATTTTTAGAAATGATCATCCTAGTTTTTATTTGACATCAGATGTGTGTGTGTCTCCAAGAAATAAAATTTTATTAAAAGTTTTTTTCCCTCTTTAAATCTTTAGTATAGAGATTGAATTTGATAAAATTAGTTGTCAATTGGGCATAATTTCAAAATAGTTAATTAATTCCAAAACTTTTCAATCAACAACACAAAAAAAAGAGAGTTTGATTAAAAAATAAAATATTTTGTTTTTGTGAATTATATTTCAAACAAATAATTAATGTTTTTTTTTTAAAATACAAAATTGCACATTTACATAAAACAAAACAAGATACCCTTAGGATCACAGAAGTAGAAATGGAAACCTTAAATTTTCGTTTGAATGCCACATGTAAGTTTTTCAACTCAACAGTAGTTTCATGCTCCAATAATAACATTTAGCATTTGTGTTCTAAACATATCACACACATACATTTTTAACAAACTTGACAAAATTGTGGCCTTAAAAAGAAACAATATGTAGGATGAACAATGGCATGCCAAAAAAAAAAAAGAGTTCACCTTTAATACAGGGAATTACAAATCAGTTGTAACAAAATATTCCCATAACAAAATGTTTTGCTTTCATTCATGGATAATAATTTTCCATTCACAGATAAATATAATAAAATATGTAACAGCTCTTTGCAGAACGTAATTGAAAAGATATATGCATGCCATTCAATAATTTATCTTAAATTCACAGCAATTACAGATGCTGTTTTGCCATTTACACTTTTATTGTCAAGCAAACGAATGCATACACAAATTTCAATTAAAAAGCTAAGCGTCTCAAAAGATAATAAATAAATGACTAAAAGGAATTCAAAGTATAACAATATGGAATGTAAGTAATTTAGACTTTGTTTTGTTCAATTTCCAATTGTGGTAAAAAAAAAAAAAAAGACATTTCTGGAAAAATCCAATCTGTGACTCAATATAATTGTAAAGTTATTAACCAAGTCTATGACTCAAAATATATCCCTTATGATTTGAGTCCAAACTGTCTTATCTGGTTCCAAAGGTTGGAGAAAAATCCAATATACAGTTCAACATTTTAATATTTCAAAATATATAAAATGGTATATGTAAAAAAAAAATTGCTTATAATAAATATATTTTTGATTTTAGATAGATGGTTAGAAACATTTATATTAAACAGAGGTCAAATTTTTAATATTCTGGACAAAAAAACCCAGGATAATTTAATATTGTATAAGGGTATTTAAAAACATCGCAATTCTGTTAGAATCTATAGACATACTGTCTCTAGTATTCATCTGCTATCTATTAGTGCTAGTTTGAACAAAATGTACACAAGTTAGTCATCCTGGTATAAATTATTTTTAATGCTTATACCGGTGATGTGTGTTGTTCACTAGATTAAAATTTAATTCAAATTCTACACTATCTGATTTACATTATCTGATTCATCTTCAACCTAGATTTCTAAAATGACCCATGCATTAATTAATATATCATTCTGACCCAATAGTAGAATGGGTCTTCTGATCTTCAAATTGAGCAATAAAATGAAAAATGAATTAATCAAAACAAGATGTTTTATATTTTGATTAACAAGTAAGTGTCAGCACGGTCTATGACAACCACCAAACTACAGTCTGTATGGAGTTTCCAGGAATGGTCAAAGGTATGTATCCAGTCACATCATCTGTAAGCTCAATAGTTTCTGGTTGATATCCTCTAGGAAAGTAAATTAAAAACAAATAGTTGAATGTTGGATTTTTATGTAATCCACACAAAAACAGGAGAGTTTAGAAATAATGACATAAAAATAGTAGGTTTTTGGAAAACGTACAAATTCAAAATGACGACAACAACTGACTTGTCTGGACGAAGAAAAGCTGTTATTTCAATCAAAGGTTTGTGTGCTGGTGAATTTACGTTCAATCCAATGGAATCTGGAACAACATATTTACTGAAAATAATAGAAATCACAATATTGACAACTAGTAACATATATATTGTATACAACAGATTAAACATCACTGTATCTAAATACAAACTAAAAACTTGAATTTACAAATAAATTTTAATAAAAATGTTCAAACCTAAAATGTCCTAGAATATAATACATCGGCTGCTTATAGAATTCATTCTTTTCATAGTTGACAATAATTGGACTATCCACATTATTGGACACCCAGTTAGGTCCTCCAGTTAAATCAAGGGCAAGATTCCAATCTGTCCAGCCAGTGACCCAGTTGTTTAAATCCTGATAAATTAATGACAATGCTATAAACGCACACAAAAAATCTGCTTGATTGAAATATATAATGGTTCATAAATTTATTGTGAAGATGTTCAGATTCAAGAAGATTAAAACACTGACCATGTGACAAAAAGGTTCAAGAATTATTTTTTTAAAAACATAACCAACAATGACCAAAAAAAAAAAAGGGAGGGGAAGGAGTAGAGGCCTATTTATGCACAAAAAAAAGGAGCCTTATTTGTTAACTAATGTAAAATTTTATATTTAAAAATGAATTAACTTACAAAGTTGTTTCTAACCAATGGGTCAAGAGTTTGAATATTGATTTTTAACTTTGGACATCCCTCAATCAAGACAACCAAACTCTAGTGGGTATCTGATATTAGGAGGGCAGCTGGTTAATGTGACAGCTGATGGTACCTTGATAAATTACCAGGCATAGAAACAGCATGTTTTACTTTTTACAAGGCTTGTACTATGATTTGTGGGAGCATGGTGGCTCCAGTCGTAAAGTGCTTGGCTGTTGGCGCTTGGAATTTTTAATTTCGGCATTTTTAGGATGCCTCTGAGTCCACCCAGCTCTAATGGGTACCAGACAGTTCAGGAAAAGTAAAGGTGGTTGGCCACATGACACTCTCGTTAAAGGTGGGCCAGGGAAACAGATGACCCTGCCCTATATTTCGCAAGGTTTGAAACTCTGACATTAGTTAGGGAAAGTACAGGTCATGCTGGTTACATCACATCACAGTCACTGTCTGCCATAGAAAGAGATGACCTTTACATCATCTGCCCTACAGACAGCAATAGATGAAATGGGTACTTTATTTTGTCTACTTTGTTTGGTAGCACAATGTATAAGGTTTAAATACTCACTGCAACCACACCCTTTCTTTCTAACTAAATTGGAAACATTCTAATGTAAGTAAGTAGTTTCGCTGCTTGCAAAATTTAAATGTTTCAAAGTTAGTGACTAAAGAACAATAATGTTTATAATTACTATAAAATATAAAAGTGGAAATTTCTTAATTTGAACAAAATTAAATATAACAAAATCAGCTTTTATTTTTGATGTCAATAAAACTTCTAAGAAGAACTCAAAGTGGGTTATCATGACATCAAGTTGGCAAACGTGTGACTCACTATTATAATATCATGTGCATAACTGACTGCTCTGTCCCAAGCACCGAGATCCACTTTCTTTTGCCATGGCATTGAGCCCTCGCAGGCTTCTGTTCCGAACAAAAACTTGTCAGGGTACAAGTTGTGAGCTAAGGTCATGATGTCTGAAGGCAGCACACCATCCACATACCAGTGGACGGCTACACCTGAAATGTACTTGCTGGCCTCAGGGTCTGAGAGAACCTAAGAGAAAGTTTGTTAAGAAAAAGAGTACATACAGCAACCATCAAACATCTATTAAACTTAGAGTTACATTATCCTATAAGCTCATCTATCATTGGAGATGATCTTCAATGGAGCAGTAAAGAAGTCAGCCAAGCTGATTTCTAGTTACAGTGATCCCTCATTTTTTGTGGGGGATGAGTTTCAAAATCACCAGCGAAAAAAACAAAAATTCTGGGAATTACAGGAAAGATATATGCAATGAGTATTTAGACTTTTAAAATGTTCCCTGTTCTGGTCATAATCCACCCTTTGCATTAAACAGTCATTTTAATATGTTTTTCATGTCGTGCCAGTAGTCCTTCAAGGATTACTCTCCCTTTATATTACAAGGGCTAAATTCCCTACAGTTAAATTATTAAAAGCAAGGTCTATTCACAGTTAAAATAGTAAAGTGATGTCAAACCAGTTTGTTGAATAGAGCAATTCCTAAATTACCATTTATTTTAAGTAAATTTTACTCGGATATGAACATAAACATATAATGTACATAAGAAATATTTGTAGATGATATATTTTGTTCAGAAGAATTTCATGAAATTTTAATGGATTTAATGAAATATTTTGGCTATTCATCTTTCATGGTTTACTTCGATTTTCCCTCAATATTCGCAATATAGTGGCCATAAACTCCCTTAAGAAAAAAAAATGGGAACAAGAAAATCTGCAACAGATGAACTGCAAAGTAACAATGGACTACTGTATTTGCAAAAAAAAAAAAAAAGTGGAAAATTACTTAAAGTAGATTTTGATTTCTTTTTATTGAATTTTAAATGAAAATATAGCTTCAAATATAATTGTCTATCAAATTTTCAACACAAAATTTGTTTTAATGAGATTTTTAAAAAGAAAATATAATGTATTTTCCTTGTATTTTTTCCCCTTTTTTTTTGGACTACATATTGGCTTAACTGAACTTAATAATCTTTTAGACAGAGTTAATTGGCATCAACTCACAGTTTTCATCCATGTAACTATAAACAACTTTTGGTCATCTAGGATCATCAGCTTAGTGTTCTTGTATATGCTGTTTTGTAAGGCTGGACCAAGATCTAATTTGATAAAATCCCTTTGCATCTCTGGTGTAAAGCCCAAGGATTGGAATGGGAATTTAGCCATCAGCCCATCAGTGGGTTCATTTTGTGCTGTTATGCCCCAAAAACTGATATTGTTTTTTTCATATTCTTCAAGAAATCTAAAATACAAAACAGTGAACAAATCTTGAGCAAGAAACAATATTTCATTTCTCCATAGGAATTACAATTAGAAACCAAAATCATTAATATGGGGGGAAAAGTTGAACTTGCTTGATAAAATAAGTAGCCCATGCTTTGTAATATGGACCTCCTGGCTGTCCAATTAAAGTACCTTGACCAGTCATGTTATGTTCTGTTTTCATCCACGCTGGGGCACTCCATGGGCTAGCAAAAAACTTGATAGGCCTTGAGGTAACAGATAGAGCTGAGCGAATAAATGGAATCTGTGTGCAGACAAATATTTTTTTTTTAAAGTTTCTAGAACAAGTTAAGAATAATTACATGTAATAGAATTAATTCCATTGCTAGTGAAAAAAAATACTAACATAATTAAAAAAAATAACTACATGGAGAATTAACCACCTTAAAAAGGCTATGAACGATTAAATTTGATCTTGCTACTTACAAGCATACAGAAAATATAATAGCTTATTAGAGTGAGAAAGAGTGTATATGAAGAGAAGATTTTGGCATCGGTAAGCTAAAGGTTATGAACCAAATTTAGTACAGATGTCTGCCTAAAAGCTGGACCGATCATACACAATCAAAGGTGACTTTAGTATCTTAGGGGTACACATTTATATTCAGCAGATGGAAGACTAAAGCAATAACAAAACAAAAACATCACTATTTACAACTAATATGATTTTCTCAACCTTTTAATATTTAAAATAAAATACACAAATTTGTAGTTTTCTAAATATATATATATATCTAAAATTGAAGGTCTGCAAATGAAATAGCATAACTATGAGATGCACTAAAAATAAGTATAATAATGAATGTAAATAATAGATTTTTTTTTCCAAATAGAAATTAATGGCAATTGAATGCCCAATAGCAGCATGCAACTCACAGATGTTCCTTTTGAAATTAATGCATTACATTTTTTACATTATTTTTTTATTTGTTGTTGTTCAGTTAATGTCTAGACCTCGGGGCATTTGAGCATCTTTATGACCATGCTCCAGAAAATTACTTATTTCAGAACTTAGGAAATATATATTTAATATAAATGAAGTTAAAAGTTT